AAGTACTTACGTTCACTTAGCGAGTTTTGAAAGTATGGCCCCTGAACAACAAATATGATGTAAAAGTTTAACCCAAATACCGATTATGAATAATCAAGTATATATCCTAACCATTTTATTCAGGCCGATACCTGTAAGTCGATCATACGAATGATCCAGTCAAGATGGCAGTGTTATTCACTCGTTCACTTGTTAAGTAAATGAGCATAAACCGCTTCAGGCATTGAACTTCAATGTTGCAAATAACTGTCCAACGTTTTTAGCGAATTTTCTCATTTATGGAAATAAAGACGCTATTGTGCTCGCCATATCCGTCTGTCTGTCCGTCCGTCCGTCTGTCCGTGACTTCACGTTTTTGTCTACGAGAAAATGCGCACTCTGTCACTCACTGCAGTGAGTACTGAGTTATATTTTTTCAGCCAGGATCTCCAGCAAGCTAGGAAGTCGAATGCAACTTAATCTGCGTTATATTCACTACTTCGAGTTTCAATCTGCTTGATTAGATGAACATTAAATGAACATGGATGTCGATTTTGGACATTTTGATTAAAAACACTTTTATTTCACACTTTAATTCAAGGTAATTCAAAAGGACCCTTCAGAATGAATATGGTTAACAAAATGCTAATGCATTTACAATTTTTATCTGATTTATTTCGATACATGATTCAATGAAGGAATATTAAGGACACAAACCGTGTTATTTATAATTTTTGGCCAAATTTCAATTTTGCCAAACTGCAGCAGCGTTGTGCACGTTTGCAAAATAATTATGCCACTGCGTTTCAACTTTCTCTCACGGTCACCACAATCGCTCTCGGATCAAACTATTGCATATTCGTAAAAGTTTTGCGTATTTGTTTGAAGCTTTGCTCTGTGAATATAAAGGGAGCTATTCGAACGCAGATCCGCAATACATATCATGTCGGGGTATTACCCGCGGCTAGTATACTATATATATTATATATATACTGTATACTATATATATTAGTCCACTGTATATATTACTAGTGGAATCACGAGGAAAGACTGATAGAGGCGACGGTGATAGTACAAAGAAAATTTTGTTTCCCATATGGCATATTAAAATTTCATGATAAAATATGGGATCCACATTAAAATTATATTTCAACAGGAAAATTAAGAAGAATATCAAGTTTTACGAGTGTTTGAACGGGTCTTTCTGTGGGTATAATATTATCAACGGAATCCAAGTAACAAAATTCTCAAATCTCGGTATTCATTTATTTCTTCCAACTTTTTAGTTCACTTAATATTGTTCCTGATGACTGATATGAAGTGTGGACTTAATTATGAAAAAAGGTCCAGTAATTTCCAGTTGGCTCCGCAACTGAAAAATTCCAGTGGTTGACTAATCAAATTACAAAAACGGAAAAAAATGGTAGAGGCGCTTTTTCATGTATATAATGATGGCTAGCAATGAAGTTGATATGCGGGATGAGCTGTGCGCTGATGATCCATCATAGTTGGCAGACATTTTACCAACTTATTAAAAACATCAAAGTTAATATATAATTAATTATTATTTGTTATATAATTATATAATTAATATGTTTCCACACAAACGTTCCATTAACTATTTCTCACTCATTTATGCTAGAATAATCTCAGAATAGATCAAATCATCCTCGAATAAAACATCGTCGGGTGTAGAAAGAAAATGATCAGCCGTGTTCACTGTTCAGTATTGAATGAATTAGCTGACCTGTGCAGAAAATAATGGTCAACGGAATGACCTCTTGCAGTGGATGGTTTGAACTGTCTTCACTGCAGAGGCCTGCAGGTCATCAAGAGCTCAACTTCTCAAGACTAACATCAAATCGATGATAATGGCAGCGGTGTAATTGGGAGGGCTATGAATCTAAGCTCGACTGTATTTACCTGGTCAATGCCAAGTGCCGGCGTTGCGTGCCTGACTTAACGCTAAAATCCACGAGCTCGATCGTCCTATCAAGCATTTGATTTAATTCACTACTCGTTGCAATATACGATAAAAACCTACGAAATAATGTTACCTATTATCGTTAACGTATAGCTAACATTATTGCCGTAATTTTCTACAATATTTTCCATTATTAAGTCGGCATGGAATGTCCGACAAGTAGAATATGGAATTTAGTCATGTCTAGCGCCAATTTGGCTTCTTTTTGCAGACACGAATTAACGCTGCATTGATATTAAATGAAAAAATATCTTCTGTTCCTGGTTCTTCAGACACCTGGTTAACATTTATTTTAAGATTATATCGGCCAAGAATGTAACAAACGTTTCTTTTTAAAAATTAAATTTCAACATGAAATTTCAGGCTTAACTTATTCCTCATTCCTCACTCCAATATCCATATTATCGAAATATTTTTTGTGAAAACACTGAACATGCAAATGTTTGATTTGATAGTGTTTGTTGGCAAGAATCATTGTTGGCAAGAATCTTATGTAAAAAACTAATTGAACAGAACGATTTAAAAAAACTTTAATTTCGGTGTTCTCAATTGTGCCTCTGACAGATTGCCTGACCGAAGGGTGTTACTCAGCGCCCCTCAGCTCATTCACAGTTAATAGCTCGAATTGAAACTTCATGTCCGGAACACGTGCATATGTTTACCGGAACACGTGCATATGTTGACCGGAACACGTGCATATGTTGACCGGAACACGTGCATATGTTGACCGGAACACGTGCATATGTTTACCGGAACACGTGCATATGTTGACCGGAACACGTGCATACATGTATGTTGACCGGAAAACGTGCATACGTTGACCGGAACACGTGCATATGTTTTGCTGCTGCACTGTGCTACAAAAGACTTGAACGTAGCTTTTCTTTCGGGATTATTTTAAAATTAATTCAGTTAACTTAAAGGAACAAAAAATGTAAATGTATGATTCGATGTTATAAAATGCATCTTATTTTATCTGTAACAACGTATGATTAATAGAAAGGAATAATAATCAGAATTATGCATACCATTTTGTAAAACTATATATTTATGTATGATATGTGAAAAACCGTTCAGATAATATTCTATGAAATGAAATATAAAGGTGGAACAGTTACGCCACGTTCTATTGCAATGTACAGCTCAGGAATACGTAGTATATCTGCCACTTGAGCTCTGTTACTTCAAAATTCAATGTCCAAGCAACAAAGAACTTCAATGTGACCATATATCTCACGAACCCAATGTCAAAGCCTTGCATTATGTTCGCGGGCTATACTGTTATGAATAAGTTATAACGATTAACAGATCGACTTCATTAGTCTCGCATACTGATTGATATCGCCGTAATTTATTTGTACAAAATACGTTCACAATTTCCGAAGAAGTCGCAGGTAGGAGGGTTTTTTAGCTTGCAGGGAATGCCAGCTGTGGCCTTGAGTTTGTTGGTCGATGCTATACACCCGCAGTCTTGTGATCGCATGTGACATTAAGGGAGCATCATGCCGGTCCCTGTCTCGTCGCTGCTCGCATTTACCTAATAAATAAAACTCTAATAATGATACGTTATATGACATCGAGAATGAAAATTGATTGATAATAAATAAAAATCAACTAAAATAAAATAAAAAAAAATTAAAAACTAAAATAAATAAATAAATAAAAAACAAACAACCAAAATTTAATATCACTGCCGTTAAATGAGTCAACTGAGTAAGAAAACCTGCTCATTTCGGGTACATTTTCTAAATGTTCGTGAGGCCTGAGAAGACTGCCACATCCATGCCTCACATATACATACTTATTATGATCAAACGAATCTTAATTCATTTCCATCAGTTATAATCTGACTAAATATCTGCTGAATTCTAGCCAGGTTGTCGATAGCGAGGCTTCCGTTCATGGCGGACGTTAGCGACATCTGTTTGAGCACTTGGGTCACTCTTGCAATTAGCTTAAATCCCGTCAGTCGATGCAAGATTATTAGAGAAATTAACTGAACAGCTGCAAACTCGGTGTCTATTCTCTTGTAAGGCCAAGTTCTTACACTTGAAAGGCCGATTTGGCGTTTCTTCACTAGAATCTTAACAGCCGGGCGTATTGAACATATTAATAAAACTGTAATAAAACACTAAAATTATAATTCAAAACCGTCTGTGAGCAAACTCGCATTCAAAATCGCAATCTTTATGGTACAGAAACCAGCCAATTTCTTAGAATTTAATTTAATTTACTTCTACCTTATTACTCACAATTCTCCACATTGTTCAGCTGGAGTGCCCTCATGATCTGAACGAATAGCGTACTTGGATAATAATTGTTCCGTATTTCTAACAACAACCCAGTTCGAAATTCTCGCAGTCATTGCGGCCGTTCGCCGCAGAGACGTTCGCAAACGCGCAAATCTAGGCCATTGTTGCCGACTTTACCTCGCGTCCAAGCAGTCTAGCGACGATATGGCCTCATCTGCCTCGAACAGCGCGATGCCTCGGTCGGCAGAAGCTGCGGCAGGCAACTTGCCGCACCTCTACCGCGGCCTACGTCGAATATGCCGGCGGTAACGGTCAAGCGTTAAGTTGGCAGGGAGAGGAAGGGGGTGAAGGGTGAGGGAGGCGGAGGAATATCGAAAGAACCTTCTAGACATGAATCTTAATATGGGGCTTATGCCGGAAGAAACTGATTGAATTATTCACTTATTTATTTCTCTAAAATTATGAGGTTTACATGATTTTTCATTTTCTACATATTTTTTTTATTTTCGACAGTTCTATTCTATTCTATACTACAGCGAATCCATGTCGCCAGTATTTGTGGAACTAGTTCCATCCAGTATTGTGTGTATTCAGTTTATTGACATAAATTCGATTAAAAACGCGAAATCAGTGGATAATCTGAAAGTAAATATCAAAATAAATTTACAAAATAATAGAAAATAATAGAATAGAATACGACTGAACGTATTGCAGAGCTCCCATGCTTCTCAAATACAAGTAACTGCCCGGCTGGTGCGCATGCGCGGCTGCGATGACTTCCGCGCATGCGTGGAAGTCTTCGCTCTACAATGGTGCAGGAAGTACCGATCTGTGTGTTGCAATGAACATTACCTGAATCTGGATAATTTTGGATAAATATTGGAGGTAAGGATTAGAAAAAACGTCAGAATTTAATGTATTTACATTTTCATATTGATTTAAGGTCTCATGCGCAACTGTCAAGTGGAAATTTTTGTTACTGCAAGTCATGAAACTATATGCTTGTCGTTCAAGGACTCATCTGCAGCCTAACTTACTGCATTGCTATCGAAAGGCACGCTTGCGGCTTGCCTATTACCTCCGTTGTCAATTCACTCAATTCTAGTTAAACGTTATGATTATGATCTGAAATTAACATTTTGTCTCGGAGTTAGGTATAAATGTGCCCCAGTAAAAATTTTATTTTCCTTCTATATTAAATTAGCCGATATTTTGGAAATAATCGAGATGACAGAGTCGGTAAAACTTGAACAAGTCTGTGAGCTCGTATTACTGGTCACAGGTTTACTGATCAAAACTGATGAAATCCATTTTGTTGCAGGCAAATGTTGAATGCAGCAAAACCCGACTAACTTTGTCGACTAACCCGACTAAGCTGTCGGCATTCGCGGAGCAATCGGGTGGACAGTCAAGTTTCCACGGCACTTACTGCAGTGATATCGGGTGCAGGAGTGATATCGGGTGACCTGATATGCTGTCAAATTTCTGCTTATTGCACCACACGAGGATTGTTAATAAAGGTAAGAAATCAAATGGACGCCCAAGTTTGTTTCTCTACTTCATGATGAAGGGACTTTTTCAGCTCTACTAGACAGTTACGGTGCGCGCAGCGGCAGCGTGGGAATGCTGTCACATTGATACCCCACCTAACTAAGGTGCTTCTTACTCGTACGTACATGTTCAAAGACGGCGCTATCTTCAAGGCACTAACTATAAAGGTGTCCGAGAACGATTCATCGCAGGTAGCATTTGGCGAGGCACAAGTTCGTCTAAGGTCTTTGTATGCTCTAGTCAAATTTTATGTCAATGAATGGCAATATTAATGTGAGGAAGAATCAAAGATGCAATATTTCATTAATAGGAATCTTATTTAGGGCAAATGCTGAGATATTTCTATCAATTTAAAATCAGCATTACCTGATGTTTTTTTCTATTTCTTAGTACGGTATTATTTGAACTTTATTTTGATCGAAGTGCTTAGATGAATTTGAAGTATGAATTTCATTTATGTACCAAATTTATTCATCTATTTGCATAGAAGTGTTTTCTTACTTAACTTCAATCCAGGAAACAAGCTGATACACTTTTATTCTTCAGGGGAGTCAGCCAGTGCATCTAGCCAACTGAGCAAAAAATGTTGTTTCATAAAGAGATATCATAAGCAGCGGCATAATACTGAGCAAAAACTGTTGTTTCATAAAGAGATATCATAAGCAGCGGCATAATACTAAGCAAAAAATGTTGTTTCATAAAGAGATATCATAAGCAGCGGCATAATACTAAGCAAAAAATGTTGTTTTATAAAGAGATATCATAAGCAGCGGCATAATAAAGCAAAAAATGTTGTTTTATAAAGAGATATCATAAGCAGCGGCATAATACTAAGCAAAAAATGTTGTTTCATAAAGAGATATCATAAGCAGCGGAATAATACTAAGCAAAAACTGTTGTTTCATAAAGAGATATCATAAGCAGCGGCATAATACTGAGCAAAAAATGTGTAGCCTTGGCGTTTATGATCATTACTTATGTAAATTGCCTGCAGATCTAAATTAAGGTGTCTCATTAGCGTTGTAATTGATTCCTACTTAAAACTTCCATTGAAGCACTTATGGAAGATTAAAAAATATGCAAAGATATTTATTTAGCGTGAGGGATGATGAAATAAATTGAGAGAAAAAAATAGCAAATAAACCTTTTAAATAGTGAATAAACCATTAAAAAGTGGATAAACTTTTGGAATGTGCGGCTCTAATGATACTAGATGCCAGAAAATAACGTATTCTGGGGAGAGAGGTTGGGCTGGCCACAGGAATGGGTGTAGGCCCCGTCCCGCACTTGTCGCGGGACGGGGAGGGCGAACAACAACAACAACAACAAGTCTCGTAGTGTGAACGGGCCTTAAGAGACGAGCAGCGCAATAATTCGTGGCCTATAATACTGGCCAGTTTTCGTGGACGCCTCTGCTGCCTCGTGTCTAAAGCGATTATAATTATTCTGAATAATAAACAAGAGAAAATTAAATATAATCTTGTCAATGAACGAGCCTGAAGAAATGAAAGAAGAATAATATAAAAAAGAATAAATGATAAGAAATAAACCTAAATTTGAATCAATGTACAAAATTTAATTACAATGTAATAAATTGATAAAATATTGCTGATCATCTCTGTGGCTGCAGGTCAGATAAGAATTTTATAAATAAGTTAGTTAGCGTTTCTTCAGATCAGGAGTGCCATCATATACAATAACGACTGTTTTTCGGCAGATATAACAACTATTATAGCCGTTTGCTACATAAGTTTAGAGCACGTTTTAAGTACAGAAAATGTGCCTGAATATATTAATAGAGAACTAAACACACAGCCTTAATAGTAAACTGGATAGAGGATGAGACTACGTTAAAATGAAACAGAACGCGTCTTTATTGTTTTATTAAAATAAAACAACGCAGGCTTTGAATTAAACATGCTAATGATAATAAATGCTAAAATTAATTCATCATACCTCCGTAGTGTTCAGATGATGTCCCTCCGTACACGCGTAGGTCATGGTGGTGTTGACGGAATTTGCTGTAACGTTCGCCACTGTCATTTCTTCTCCAGCTTCCCGAATTGGATCCAGACACACTGAAAACATTGAAAAAAGATTTGTGATTTCTGATCAAGGGGAATGACAGTTTAATGATTAACTGCTTTCTTTTCTTAAATTTACTACACGGCCATCATTATTTACTATAATGAGATAGCTTTTTAACAGTAAAAGTTGTGCAAAGAACAGAAAGTTGATAGTTGAAACAAAATTGCTCCTTTTGAAGTAATGCAATGCTGTAAAATTTCTTGTGTTATTGATTATTCTCACATGTCTGTTCAAGGATCACAAGTAAGTTGAAACAAAATTGCTCCTTTTGAAGTAATGCAATGCTGTAAAATTTCTTCTGTTATTGATTATTCTCACGTATCTGTTCAAGGATTACAAGTCGATCCATGAGCTTAATTATCCAGTGCTGTAGGGTACAGTATATTTTCAATATTCATGGTTACTAGCTGCGCTGACCTTTGTAGCATGGCAAGAGTTTTCTGTCGTCCCACTTAGATGCCGCGCAGGTCAGAACTTGCTTGGTCTTGTTGAAGGCGAACTCGTACCCCGGTAAGCACTCGACTGAAAGAGTCTGGTTGTTTGCATCGGAGTAGTTCTTGGACGAGTTGAAGTCTGACCAGGCGTTGACCAATGTCGGCAGTTTGATCATGCAAGCTATCATAGAGAGGAGAAATCAAGATATGGAATTAATTCAACGTTAACTAGTTATATTCAAAAACGACGTAAAGGTAAGGCCTATTTATTGCACCAAATATACGTAAAATCAAAAACTAATTTCATCCAGCTAGCAATCAGCAATAGTTCGAGAAATTCAATTAAAAATATATATTTGTATTTAAATAACAAAATTTCTCCCCCCAAAAAATGAATAAGAAAAAGTGAAAGATATAGTATTAAGAGTTTTTTCAATCAGATATTGAGAGATTAAATATGTATGTATATATGTATATATGGATACATATATACATACATATTCCATACATGGTATGGAATATGTATACCATGGATTATTTCTAAAGTCGCCATCTTATTTCGCGGCCAATTTTGTTTTTCAGCCGATTATATAACCAGTATCCCATTCTAAAAATTGAATCGTTGTATTTCAGTAGTAAACTTCAAGATTACGGTAAGTTATTGACCACACTGGCAACTGTTCTGCTATAATATTGCTCCTACTTAACAAGCGTAACCCCATTACAACCCAATATATTTTAGGTAGAACTTAACGGTGATAACATCTGATGTCAGCGTCGGGGTATTGCTTGGTCCAGTTGCCGTCTTGTGAGCACGTGAGTTCCATCGTTTTTTTGAGCGGAAATATGGGCACAGAAACAAACTGCGTCAGGCTGCCGCTGCTTGTGTTGGTAGGCACCAACATCTGCCACACATCCAAATTTAAATCATTTTACTCCTAATTCAACGTAAGGATTTAAAAATAAAATGAATGGGAATCCCTCATTTATCATTAATTTGGTAATTTACGATTGATTATTTATTTTTCTTTAATTAAAAGAAGTTATTTGGAATCAATTAGTAAATTCGGTAAAAAGTATTGTTTTATAGTGAAATAAATTGATTGATGAATAATTTTTGAAAGATAGTTTTCATTGCGTATGACTGAATACATATATTATCACTCACGTAGGTATAGTTTATGTAGTAGTTAGGCTGGCACTTGTACAGCAAGATGGCGCCGATGGAATCGTTAGTGAAGGCCGGATCGTCCATATCTTCCCCAGCTGTTGGGGGATTCTCAGTGCACGCTGCGGAAACAAATTCATATTAGAATAGAATAGAAGTGTCGGCATTGAAGAAATAGGCCCATGGCCTGATATTCTTCCGTGCTGGATGGCGTATTTGACCTGGTGTAAGTGACATGCTGGGACGGTCTGATAATGTAAATTAGTAAAGTAAATTAGAAGTAAATATTCTTCATGTGTTATGATGAATATGGAAATAACTGAATTTTATGCTCAGTCATCTACCCATTTATTCATTCATTAATATTTAATTAAAAATTTCTACCCCAATTTGTTAATCGTTGTAATCTTCGTTATTTCTTTAGCATTAATTTTAAGTGTAATTTTTCACACTTGGTGAACTTTTTTCTCGAAATACAGTATATAGAGTTCATTTGAAGGTCACTACCAAGTATTGGATGTTAATAATAATAATAATAATAATATATTCACTGGTTATATTATTATACTATAATATAATAATATAATATTATTATATTATATTATAATATTATAGCAATAATATTATTAATTTATTATAAATAATAATAATATTCACTGGTTGCATTTGAAGTGACTCTATAGAACAATTTATTCTCGCCTCATAACAAATTTATGACCACTCATAATAAGTATGCAATATATACAATAAATAATTCATGAAAAGACTCACTGTGACGACAGTCGTAGGTTACGACGTTGTAATCAAATGTCCACGTGCTGTTGTTGCCGCAGGTTGCCTGCACGACGGCGCGTGTTGTGTTCGGTTCCTGAATAAAATCTCGAACATTAATTATTCTATTTCGAGGAGTTTTTTCCGTATTGTTTGGCTTTCGATCATGTCAAAGTATCATTTACCTAATAGCAATGAATGTCTAAGTTTTTCCAAAATGAAATACATTATGAAGTGAATAAAATATAAAAAAGAGAAGAAATAGATGGAAATAGCTGCTGGGTTGGTCCTTAAGTTGAAAATTTCATACAAATCCCCTGAAAGGAAAATGTCTAAAGTTCCTAAAAGAATACAGGAAGCAATGTTGAATATCCCAACACTTTATTCTCAGTAGATATACATACGTATATATTTCAGTACATTCATTCCTACGCTTGTTTCAAAAGCAGAAGACCGTTTAGATTACAATTTATTTCATGTTTCATGCACACATATGTGAGAATACACACATTAAAATTTCAAGCCTGCAAGATTACAGCAAAAATTTGATAGAAAACATTTTTATGTGATTTTTTTCTGTCTGAGAACGAGACGAGATTGAATAGATACAAATACATGAATGTTCGTGAAATAAAAATAAATTCTGGCAAGCTGTTTTCATTAAAAAAAAAGTAGATTTTACAGAATCCCAAAATATTAAAGGGATTGTATGCAATTTACACGAATATCAGTGCCACAACCTCACGTTGTTAAGTATCAAATAAAAACGTCAATTTAGAAAACGTAAATTTTCTAGGAATTACACGAAATTATTCGTAGATAGAAACAAATTTCTTAATCAGTGTTAACATACTCCTGACACAGCTACGGCGACAAAGTATCCACTAGTACAGGTGTAGGTGACGGTAGCGCCTGGTACGTTGCTGGCCACGACGCTGCGGGTCATCTGCCTGCCTGCCGGTGGCAGCGCTGCCGTGGTGCACGCTGAACAAATGTAATGGTAATAAATAATACACGTTTAAAAATTACTTTTTAAAGACAACAATTCTAAAGAATCCAATGTTTGCAATGTTACAGATGTACAATGAATTTCTTATTTTATTTTTGAATCTTAAAATAAGTAATTTTTCAATATATTTTAATATATATATTTTTTTCAAAATTATCTATTCTGTCATTTGATTCATGCATTGCCTCCAACTTTACGCAAGTGCGCAAAATTTCAGATCGATAGGATAAGTAGAAGTGTGATAAATTTTGATAAAAAGATTTGTAGCAGACAGACAGACAGACAGACAGAGACGACAGACAGACAAACAAACAAGAAGTGAAGTTAAAGAGAATTGTTGTAAAAATTCAGTACAAGTCAATTTGGTGTACGTTGCGCTGAGAACCTTCATGCGATATGACAACGAACAATGCTACCTATCTTCGTTTTGAATCCTGAAGTTTGAAATTTTAAAATTTGCATCTCTGTACTGAAGTAATCTTTAAGTATCATGAATTGCAGTTCTAAATGAAATGTAGAAAGTTTATTTTCACAGTAGTATTAATGAACGAATACTCGATAATGAATCTTTACCTAGGGCGAGAGGAAGATCGATAAGCACACGCACTGATGTATTGAATCGTTAAGTTGGGAGATAAGGAAGCAGTATATAAGGCGGTATTTGAACTACGCTGTTTCAGGTATAATAGAGTTAAAGGTAGCATTAATTCCAGCTTCAATGAGCTTGTACATAAATAATTTAATCTGATTCATTCGTTTTCAAATCAATAAGCTGGCACATAAAATTAAATACGAAGCGTAAAGGAAATGAAATAATGAACTGATCAATACAGCAAAAAACAAGTTCAATAGGGATTCTCTGGCAAAGTGGCATAATTCGATAGCGATGTCTTTTCAAAAGTATTGATTTAGAAGCATTTCAAAAATTCAATAAGGTCTATATTGAGTGCCTTTGCTGCGAGTTAAGTCTCATGAAAAGAATATTTTGTAAAATTATTTTACAAATTATATCCCGGCCCTTACTTCAAGAGAAATATCACACTGTGATTTACTCCTGATTACAACCACATGATTAAGACAAATATATTTTAATCTCAAAACACTAAAATTTCCAGTATCGCATGTTTAAATTTGAGATCTGATAAATTATAATACAAAGTAATGATCAGCGTAGGTCTATCACTTTATAGCTACTTAGGTGACATGAAGAGCATTACTTAGGAAACCTTAATTGAAATAGAGAACAGAATTCAGGTAAACGTTTTATATTAAACAGCGATGCACTTGGTTGAAAACTTTATTTCAGTGGTCTGAAGCAAAAATAACTTTAACATTTTTAGAAGAAATAATTACAATACATTGATTTTTTTATCTGTTATAAGGAAGAATAGAAATTTAATAATGATGAGGAAATTTAGTTTTTACTGCGTACGGATATGATCTATTGAATTACAAAAGTCTGCTTTCCCATACCCTCTAACCCGCCATACTCGGCAATAAGTGAACACTCATTGAACAGCCAAGAAGTTAATGTTGGTATTAGCATAACACAATTTTTTCCGAGTCCTGTATGATACATCTACTGGATAAATGTTTCAATACCTATAATAATTCTGCATCCATTTGAATAAATAAAAAAAAATCGATAAAATTTCTTAATGTGCGATAATTGCTGTTTGAGACACCGTGATCAAATTTCCACGCACTGTCATTGCTACAGGTCGCTTGTAATAACTATGCAAAGAATACAATAGACACTTCATTGAAAGACTTAGTATGACTACAGTCGTAGGTTACGACTTTGTAATCAAATATTCAACTGTTATCGTATCGTGCTAGTTGCTTGTAATAATTATGCGAACTTTAAAACAACTACTTTATGAAAAGACTTACTGTGGCGACAATTGTAGGTTACAACATTGTAGTCGAATGTCCACGTGCTGTTGTTGCTGCAGGTTGCCTGCACATCGGCGCGCGTTGTGTTCGGCTCCTGAAAAAATGGCCTTAGAATTCCTTAGTATTTTTTTTTATGCCATTTACTGGTACTTTTATTTACTGTTCTCTGATAGCCCTGAACAATGGCCACTTAAATTATATAGCAATACATGGTCTT